CATAAAAAATAAAAATATCAATATACGTACCATGAACAAAAAAATAATAATTAAAATTTTTTCTCAAGAATGTAACTAATTATTATTATTTATTATTGATCCTGATATGTTTTTATTATTTGAAAGAATTAGAAATTAATTTTATCAACAATATTTATTTTATATATAAAATAGCAGTAACAAATTTTCATTTACGATCTTATAGTTTACTACATAACGACACACATTTTTATACAATAACGAAATAACTCTACATTTAAAAAATAATTATAAAATATTATAAATATATTCGAAACATATTCAGACATGTCTAAAATATGTATAAAAGTTAACAATTATATTAGTTGTACCAAAATTAAAATTTAATTGATGGAGACCCAATGGTTTGTGACCATTGGATAGATATTAGAATTTATTAAATATTAAGACTCGTTATTGTACTTAATATCGCAATATATTAGGTCCTTAAATTAGATGAAGAAAATATTCGGTGCTTGCAAGACACCACGTGACCTTGTTTTTTAATATACATTGTCTATACATTTTGGACTCGTTTGGTAGACGTATTATGAGGAGATTAAATATTAGATTGTACTATTTTTTATTTAATCAGGCACAATACTTTATTTGGTAAACAAATTTAATACCGTATTAATTTCAAAAACATATACTTATCGTATATTTTTTATACAATAGACTTGTATTATGGAAGTTTTTTAATACCACCAAAAGATGTGGTATTATAATCCAACTCAAACGTATTATTCTATACATTACTGTTATAACCCCCCATATGATAAATTCAAGTTGTCATCAATGTAACAAACACTGATTGAGGGTGTTTTTGTTAATTCAACATTAATACGATGAAATAATTCTCTAACCAAACAACCGATTGAATTAAATAATTACTATCCAACACTTATATTATATATTACCAAACACTAGATAAAATTACGTATTATTTTAATATCATATTTAGTCTTGTCTTTAATCTATTTGTATTGTATTAGACTGTATTATTTTATCTAATCTATCCAATTTTAATACGGCAACCAAACGAGCCCTTTGTGTGAGACAATGTCCAACATATTGTATGTTAATCTAGAATATATTTTGTGTGTGATGTACAAAAGAAGGCAAGGTCACATAGTATCTTGCAAGCATTAAATAATTTCTGCCATCGATGGTATTCATATTCAATGAGTTATATCTACTCCCAAAATATCTATTCTTATTATATTGAACTGTCTTATATCCTAAAAACCATTATGGTCATATCCTAGTTTATATCGATCCTAATAGTAATTAAATCCTACATAATCTTTTATCAATTATAGAAAAATGTTTCATATGTTCCTTCAACCCTCATATCATTTTTACATGGAAGGTAAAAAAATCCACCCACCCAGTTTTTCTTTTTGAATTGATCCAACTTATTTAGTTGTCAACATTTAAGATGCTAACGCAAGCTTTTAAGACCAGACAAATTGTACACAAGGACACCAACCTCACAAAGTGGTCCTTGACAGCTTTGCTCTACCAGACTAAGGATGGTTTAGAGGTCTATACAAAGTCAAACTTTTGATCCTTTTTTTCATTCAAATTTATGGGAGGATTTAAGTTTTTATTGGAGATGGTTTAATGGTGAAAACATAGAAATACCCTTACCAAAAGGATAAACAAAAATACTTTAAATTTTAGAAGTTTTTTTTCGACTTAAAAATGACAAGGGTGAGAAGCCTGTTTTTGATATTTCTAGATGGATAAATTGTTAAATAATATCTAAACGAAAGATGAAGAAGAAGATGGATAAATAATACAACATTCAAAAGAAGGGATGATGTTAAGGGTGTTCATGGGCTGGGCTAGCCAATGAAATTTTTTACGGCATGGGATTGGGTAGAGTATGCGCAAATCTTTATTCGAGTGAGTTATCGGTCGAGTCGGCCATGATAGAAATAAACTACCAGCAACTTAACCCATCACTTATTGGGCGGGCATTGCTGGTAGACCTTTTTTTTATATACATATTTATTTAAAAAAATTTAACTTAATATTTTTGTAAACTATATTTTTAAATTAAATTAGAGTCAAAATAGACAAAAAATAAATAATAAATAACTTTACTTGAGAGGAATTATTTAGTATTTAAGTAAATAATGAATAATACCATAAATTATTCAATTTAGTATTTAAGTAAATAAATTTTTTTGAGATAAATATGCACTTAACTTTCGGTGATCAATTTTTTTTTCAAACAAAATAGGTGAATTGGCGGGTAGATATGTTCTTGGGTCAGGTTTTAACAAGTTTTGCGAATGGACTAATATGCCGAGTAATGGCTTGGGGTAGGCCCAAGCCTTCTCTTGTAGAATATTGGACTTGAGTTTGAAGGGGCCAAGTATTGGATTTATCCAAGTTTGGATCTATTTTTTTAGATTGAGTAACGGGTCTCATGAATCAACCCAACCCATGAATACCCTAGAGATGTAAGGTTCGGAGCTACACCTACAACATCATTCACTTTTTGCCAGTGTCTCACAGACATTGATGTGAGATAATATTATGTTTACTAAATTTTTTTATTAAATGTTTATCTTAAATGATATGATATAATTTTTTATCATCAAATAAATGGATCTTTACTAATATTCAATGACAAAAATTATGCCACATTATTTAATATAAAAAATTAGGTAAAATTGTTTGGTAAGCAGGACATTTTTCATTGATGTGAGCTTCAGTCAATTCTTTTTTGTTTGGCTACTAGCTTCCTACGAAAGGTATGCAATGCATTGCCGTACCCTGTGCTCTCGTTTTCTGGTGTGCTATATCTTTTGTTATGTGGGTATAAATTAATTATATCGATAAAAAAATATATATATAGAAGAAATTTCAAAACACGTGCGCTAAAGCATACAAAATAAAAGATTCTTCCGTCCCTACAGTTGAACTTTAAAAAAAAAATAAAAACATTCTTCCCCAAATTTGTTACTTAGTTTGTAACTTCAATTTATTTGGATAATTTTTGCTGTTTAACATTTGTTTTTCTCGCATTTTACGAAAATACTAAAGTGATCAAATTTTGAAAAATCAAAATATGTAATCTAAATAATGTGACAAATTCACACAACTAACAAGATATAATTGAACCCCTTATTTGTTTGGGGTGAGAAATTGTCGAACTCATCAAATCCAAATTTAAGCCTCAAATTTGATTAAAGTTCGATTCTTACTAAGTTTTATGTTTAATGGTCTGTTTGAGAGTAATGATGGAAAAAAAAAAGGGATGCATTCAAGAAAAGAAAAATAATTTTACTCTCTTTTGTTTGGTACAAAAGATGAAAATTAAAATAAATATTTTTTTATTATTTAATTTAACATAAGGAGAAAAATGGATAAAAAATATTTGCAGATAATTACCTTGACATATTTACGGTTCCCCCACCCAAAAAAAATAACCATTCTTGCCTCACTATTGGCTAAATCACTTGTGCACTAAGATGAATGTGAGTCAAATCATAATTAAAAAAACAAGGATCGTAGTAATACATGCTACTCATTCAAAGAAAAATAATAGAGAGTTGATTAAAAAGGGCATTAAGTACTTTTTTAAGAGATATCCAAATCACCGATACGATTAACAAAATTGTGAAAATAAATATGTAGATTTCAGATCCAAGTAGTACTATCAATTCTAATCACTTTGATTTGAACCACACTAATTTGGTCCACTTGTACATGGTAAATGACAAAAAAAAATAAAAATAGACCCCATAATTATTTTTTTCCTCAATTGGTGATTCTAAAATCTGAACCTTTATTTACTCGAAAGAAAAAAAAAAAAAAACTGAACCTTGAGGCTAAAATGGTAATTTTGGGCAACCTTTGCACCATGCTTCCATTCTCCTTCCAGTTCTGCCGATTTTTGGAGCGATTAAAAATTCTGGGCAGAAGGGATGCATTTTCCACCCCTTTTTCCTTTCTTTTCATTTTAATTTTTCTTCTTCACCAAACAATTCCATCCTCCTAATTTTCCTTCAAACCAAACAGTCACTAAGTGCAATTGTTGGGAAGAAAATAGAGGTGGACCAGTGCCATACCAGTTGCCGAAACAGTGTGTTTTTGTTGAAAATTTTGAGATCAATTACTTCTTCTGTTTTTACTTTTTGTTGTACTAAATTTTGATGAGTTTAAGAACTTGTTTGACTTTTGAACCCAGTATTTAATCCGTCTTGTTGTTATAGTTGTCGCTGCAATTTGTGTTATTCTTCGGGTTTGGTGCGATCATTATCATAGCTGAATTTTGAGAGTTGTGTTGAAGTCAGACATTGAATTTTGGGGTTGTGTTGAAGTCGGGCTTTGAATTTTGGGGTTTTTTTCTAGTGGTGTTCTTGGATGTAGAGTTGCTAGATTCAAGCATCTATGACAAGAAACCCTGGGCGTGAATATAATCTAAATGAAGCATTGACCAACACAATACTAGTTGGAAGAAAGATGATACGTTGCACTGGAGGAGGGTTTGTTCGTTTGAAAGATATAGCTTTGCAAGATTGAAATCAATTGTTGACAGAGAAAACAAGCTCAAATACAAGTAAGGGAAAAATTGAAAACCCCTTCAAGGATCAATGTCATGGCATTAGAAGAAATTCTTCAAGTGGATTCCTTCCGGTCTACTTCTTTTATGATCTCATTGGAAATCAAATAAATACAACTCCTATTTGATATAACTATTTATGCAAGTATTTTACAATGAAGAAGTAACTATCTCTTGTACGGATCATGAATTAATCTACTATAACTATGAAAAACCCTTTTTTCGTGAATTACTGCATAACATGGAATCAATTCCAAATTGATATAATTTAAAACAATAATGTCTCAACAAAAACAATCACAAAACATGAGTAGTTGATACCAAATATATATGTAATTATTTGTCAAAATACAATAAAACCACCCTCCAAAATATTTTAGCAATTAAACTTATTCCACTCTTAACCTCCCACGCTAAGGAGTGATTCAGTACTGGACATGGCTTTAGCAGAAACACTCCCCGAGTATGATGAAGGGAATGTCATTGCAAATTCATTTGAAACTTCATTCCCAAATACTGCAACCATGCCGACACTTGCAATATCCATAAATACCTCGGGCAAGATAACTTCCCCATCCAAATACTGCATCACTTGCCTCATGCTAGGCCTAGTTACAGGATTATAGTGAGAGCAAAGCAGACCTAGCTTCAAAACCAACTCTATTTCCTGTACCACAAAATCACCTCCCAATCTGGGATCAGTTGTCTCAAGAATTGCTCCTTCTTTCCATTTCTCCAAAATCCACTGAACCAAAATCATATCATCAATCAATCCCTGTACCTTTACCGGTCTTTGTCCGCAAGCCACTTCTAGCATAAATGCCCCGAAAGCAAAGACATCTGTGCTAGTAGTTGCCTTCCCTGTTCTAGCAAGCTCTGGTGCAATATACCCACAAGTTCCAACCACATGGGTTGTTTTAGGGTTTTCTCCATGATCATACAATCTAGCAAGCCCGAAGTCTCCTAGCCTTCCATTGAAATTGGCATCCAAAAGGACATTACTTGCCTTGACATCTTTGTGAAGAACAACTTTTTCCCACCCTTCATGCAAATATAGAAGGCCTGATGCTATCCCTCTAATGATTTGATAGCGTTGAGCCCAATTAAGGCTTGGTTTTTCATTGATGTGTAAAAACTTGTCAAGACTACCATTGGGCATATAATCATAGACCAACAGAAGCTCTCCCTTTCTCCGACAATATCCCACGAGGGCCACTAAGTTCCTATGTCTTAGCCTACCCATGCTAGCAATTTCAGCAACAAATTCCTTCATCCCCTGCGTCGAATCTTGGGAGACTCTTTTGACTGCTACACGTGCATTGGAAGAAGGAAGAACCCCTCTGTAAACCTGTCCAAAACCTCCTACTCCAAGAAGCTCTTTGTGGTTGAACCCATTGGTTGCTTTGTAGAGATCCTTGTAGCAGAACCTCTGAGGCACATATTCCAATTCCCAATCCTCGAGTATTTCTGCATACTTTCTTCTCCATTGTATGTAAGCAATCCCAGCTATAGTGATGATCAGCACAACCAGTGCTGTCGAGGCCGAGATTGCAATATCACGATGCAATTTTCTTTTGGATTTTCTGGGCCAGGGAACAGAAGGAAGTTTTGATAGGTCTAGGCTTTGTGCTGGCCCAGTTTTGTTGAAGCTCCACCCCAGAATGTCGTGGCTGCTTGTAATCGTTCCTGTAGATGCAGAGAAACCAACATACATAGAGTCCAAGAAAACTGGAGAGAGATCAATGGAAGCCGACAAGAGAGGTAGATTTGGTTTCGCGATTCTGATGGGAGCTATTGTAACAATGATAATCTTTTTCACTCCATCATAATCTATCCAAACCTGCGTTGGTTTTTTACTTATAAGATCCAAGCTCTTGTTAATCCCTTCTGTATTGGAAAAATATGATGCCGGAGCCGATACAACGGATATTAGGCCGTTCACATCAATTCCGACATGATTGTTGTCTATATCTTTCAAATCAGGGCTTAGATTAGTATCAAACTCAACTGCAAGTACATGGTTGGAGGTAAGGTTGTTGTTCGAAGAATTGAAAACTCCCAGAAACTGTTCAGACATGCCTCGCTGGGTGAAGCTCAGAGATGGTAAGATGGTGAAGGCAAAGCCGAGGCCGGGAGGATATCCCAGTTTAGGAACAATGGCGAAGATGAAATAGGTGGAAAATGAAAGAGACTGAGCCGACCCAGATGAGGAAGACGTGTTAAATTTCACAGGAATTTGGTACAAAGCATGGCCAGTATCTTGGTTTGAAGTGTTGGTTATCTGCAATAGGCCATTGGGAAGGATCTCAGCGAGACCATCAAGGTACAGTTTAGCTCCACGGAAGCCATGGTAGATGAACTGGTTTTCATCTTGAGCCAAGGCCAAGAGTTTTATGGATATAAGGAGGAATATCATCAGATTAATAAGAGACCATGGAGCCATTAACGAAGTGAGAGAAGGTTTCTTCTGTCTTGAAAATTTAATACTTTGAATGGCCAAAACGTTGATCTGATTGGATTATACCATTGGATGAGTACGAATAAATATTGGGCGGAATGATTATATAGTATTGTTAGGTGCCACCTACCTATAAAGCATGGATACAAATATGAGATACGAATATGATATAATACGGATACGATAATACAGTAAAATCTAGTAAAAAAAGATACGAGTACAGTCAAGAGTACGGTCAGGATATGTCTATAACAAAATATATTTAATATTTTTATTATTTTCAATCAGCATAATACTTATATATTTTGATAGTTCTTTAACATAATAAGAAAAATTTGTAATTCTTTTTAGTTTGAAGAAAATATATATTGCACCACTATGATATATTCACAAAGTGAAGTGATTAATTAAAGGAATCAAAACTAACATTTACCGAGTCGGTTTACTTAGAAATGATTTTTGCTAAAACTATAATGTAATAGATTTATTTTATGCTCTTTTGACATGTAATTGTAGATAATACTTAAAAAATACTCATGTGCTTTTGAAGTAGTCTGAAATTTTTGTTAATGTATTGTATAGTATGTGAATTCAAAAGGAAATGTTAAAAATTCAACTCAAAAATAATATATATTGGTTGAACACAAAAATATTTGTGAAGTATGCTAATATTTAATTATTATCAGATAGGTAAGAAGTGTATCTGATACGTATCCTCAAATATCCGACGAGTATCGTATTCAATAAAATATGCGATACAGATACGCCGACCCCAACGAAATNACAAAGTGAAGTGATTAATTAAAGGAATCAAAACTAACATTTACCGAGTCGGTTTACTTAGAAATGATTTTTGCTAAAACTATAATGTAATAGATTTATTTTATGCTCTTTTGACATGTAATTGTAGATAATACTTAAAAAATACTCATGTGCTTTTGAAGTAGTCTGAAATTTTTGTTAATGTATTGTATAGTATGTGAATTCAAAAGGAAATGTTAAAAATTCAACTCAAAAATTATATATATTGGTTGAACACAAAAATATTTGTGAAGTATGCTAATATTTAATTATTATCAGATAGGTAAGAAGTGTATCTGATACGTATCCTCAAATATCTGACGAGTATCGTATTCAATAAAATATGCGATACAGATACACCGAACCCAACGAAGTATCCGTGCTTCATAGGGTGCTACAATCTTTCAATGATAATTCTGGACCTTACTCCTTTAAATAATCACCTTTTATGTAAAATACTAATTGCCACATATTTAAAAAATAAGATTGCTACGTTATCATTGGACAATTACACCTAATATTTACTCTTGAAGAAGCTGGAACCAATGAAAACTTACTAGCTAGTAATGCTATGTTTACCACACCATTTACCAAATTTTATATCACAACTTAGATGGTTACATCAGTGAAGGCCATTAACTTCCACCAAATATTTAATATACAGAATTTTAATAAAGAAATTTGAAAAGGACATTTTTATCTCTTAGCACTTACTAGTGCCGTGAGAAGTGGAATTATATATTTTTCCATAAAGACTAAGACTAATGGGTCAATCTACATTCTCCGAGAATACAAGGCCGTTGATTATATATTTTTCTTAGTTTTTATAAATTATAAATTCAATTGCTAGTTGTGAAATTCAGCGGTGTTAAGTTGTGTTCCAATCATATTCTTTTGTATTCATATCGAGTATTAATTAATTTTAATTCAATTCATTTAATTAATTATGTCAAAGGTTCTGATACTAACATGATCACTTGATATTTATAATGTTGTGTTAAGTTGATCCCTATATTTCTTAAATTAAAAGTCTAATACTAAGATTTGATTATTTCTTAAATAAACCATAACTCATATTTTTTCATAGGCTTAAAATATATTTAAGTCTATATAATAGCAAAAATAGAAATAAAATTATCATTTGGGATAACTAATGTAAATATGTGATAAAAATAGTAAAAATCAGTCATTTTATTCATGTAATACTAATAAAACATGTTTATCGCATCAAATTTGGGCTATTCATATTTATAATCTATAATATAAAACAACATATGTTTCAATAAACTTATCAAATGGCCACCAGCATCTCTGTTAAAATCATTTACATTAAATTTTGTCCCTAAAATTCATCGTTTTTCACTTATGTTGCACCGTATATTCAAGAACGAATTACCTTTAATTTAATAATAAACTGTCACACTTATTATTCCAGCATTCTGAATTTACATCGAAAACTAGTTAAACTTAACTTATTAACTTCTTGTCAGTTTTGAATCGATTTAACGTATCATCTCTAAGCGGAATTTTCAAACATCCTCACTTGGATTTACATAAGAATGTTCCACTTGACTGGACTTATCTTTCATCACCTAATAGAGAAAAAGGAATAATTCATATTAGTATCTGAGTTATCTGCTTGGTTCCAAAAACGAAGCATCTAGGCTATGGCAACACAAAAGAAATCTACATGTTTTGGCCATGGACTTATATGACTGCCGTTACACTGAGGTTTCTATCCAGACACGTAAGTCATGATATTATTTTACATATTTACTTGATTTCCACTGGAGGCCCCACAACAAACCTCCAAGGAAAAAAAAACTCCTAAAAATAGACTATGAGGGATCCATCCAAGTATATATATATATATATATATATATTAGCAATTGTTTGTGCCTAAAGGCACTATGTAACAAACTAAAAATCACAACCAATTATCCGTACTTAAAGGTATTACTCACAACACAAAAAACATTTTTTTTTTCAGAAAGTAAAAGTTTTCATTCATGTGAAAAAACTGTGACGTACATCAAAACAAAAGCCAATACAAGCAGAGAAACCCCATTGGTGAACAAAAGTATGAGGAATTCCTAAGAGGTACCAAGCTTTAGCTAAGTACCTCAAGGGAATTAGCCCTAGTCCTATACAAACAAAGCAAAACAAACTTGGACATCATAGCAGGCATGAGTTGGGAAGCTGCAAGGTTAGAAGTAATCTTTCATTCCTTGGAGTGATCTTGAATTTAAGAGAAAGCATTCTGTCCCTAATGGTTTGGACAATAGCATGCAAGATGACTTTGGAGTTCTTGGATTGGTGGCTATGGAGCCTTGAGTTCCTTTCTCTCCAAATGGAGTAAACAGCTACAAAGAGGCATAGCTTTTGAAGGGTTCTGAGCATGGATTTACCCTTCCTTGTTTGAACAACTTGATCGAGCAGGAGTTGCCATGAAATAGTTTGCCATTATTCACCACATAAAAGCATCA